CTGAACCTCTCTGTCACAGTGATGTGGTGGGTAGCCTGGGAGGTGTTGAAATCTTACTGGATTTGAAGGCAGAATAGAATGGGGCTAGAATATTGTTCCAGTGACTAGTTCTGGATTTTCAGGCAGGGTATTATACCTCCTTTGTTGGAACAAACCTCTTGTTTCTCATTGGTAAAATGGGGCTGCTAATAATCATCTTCACAAAAGGCTGAGAACTGAGTAACATGTATGCACACAGAGTGTGTAAATCTAGGATTGTTCTAACAAATTGTAGATAAATGGAAACTGAAAAAACTTTACTCTGTACCTTTAAAAGTAAAAGCTGATCCAAAACAGAGTTATCTTCCTTTTGAGTCAATGAACTTTCCATTACTGGCCTATTGCAAGGTTTTCTCTGATCTTGAGGATTCAGTGGTACTCTACTACTGGAAGAGGGTGTTGAATTTTTTTTTTTTTTTTTGATAATTCACAGCTTAGGATGGCATATTGATATATGACTATCTACTGCTCTGTAACAGATTACTTCCCCTACCCCCACAACTAGCTGCAAACAACAGTCATTTATTCTCTCTCAGTTTCTAGAGGTCAGGATTCTGGTTTGGCTTAAATAAGTGGTTCTTACTGGGGTCAGCCACATGACTACAGTCAGAGGGCCAGCTGGGGCTGCAGTCGTTCCAAGGCATAATTTGGGAGTATGGAGGGAGTGTCCGCTCATTTATGACCTTGTTGGCAGCTTCAGAAAATCTGCTTCTGTCTCAGTCCTGTTGCTCTCTTCTTGGGCTACCTCACCTCGTGGCATCTGGTTTCCTCCAGAGCAGAAGAAAATGTCCAAGACAAAAGCCACCATTGTCCTTTAATTTAATCTCAGAAGTGACTTGCCCTCCCGTCTCCTGTGTTCTCTTGATTAGAGGCAGGCCAATAAGTCCTGACCAGGGACCAGCAGGTGGCATAGTGGTTAAGGTGCTGGACTCCCACATAGCCAACTATGGTTCAAGTCCTGGACCCTGCGGTTTGAAACTCACGCATATGTGTACATGCTCAAAATTCTGAGAGAATGGAAGAGAATGGATTACGGTGTGGCCATCCCCCTTGGGGTGTGAGTTTTCACTTTCTGTCTCTCTCCCAGTGAGTCCACATGCCCTATAACAAAAATATCTCTCTCTTAAAAAAACCTCCTGACCAACTTCAGGGAAGGGGCTAATCCTAGGGTATTCATACCAGGAGGTAAGGATAACTGGGGACTATTTTAGAGGCCACCTTCCATAGGTAGATGGCAGATAGCTGCGTCTGTGTTGTTAAGTTGAGCAGCGTAGACTTGGTGGTTCACCTAATTTTGTAAATCTGACTTATATCACCATTTTTAATGTTCTGAAGGGAAAGTAGTTTTTATTTTATTTTCCATTCATTGGGGCCAGTTCTAAAGCTCATCATACTATACTTACCAGTTTTGGTATAATTTAGAAGATGAGTATCTTCTCAGTAGCTTTGGAAGCTGTTCTGTAGAATATGAAACCTCTTTTTTTCCTGCTATCAGGAGGAAGAAAATGAAGTTCCTTCAACATACCTTCTGTTTCCTAAGGCTGAATTGTACTTATGTTTTTAAAACTTTACAAGGTGCTTGTTAGCTAGTAGCAGAGGTCCCAAGTGCACAGCCTCATGGAGATTATACGTGTTCACGCCTCCATCAGATGTTCAGTAATATCACTCTGAAGTTCTTCTAGGGAAGGTTTTGTAGGCATTTAAGCAATCCATTTTATTCTGAATGTCTGGCTCACTTACTGTGTCAAGTTGCTTATTAAATAGAAAACATTGACTTAGAATTAGTTTTTATTAAATTGAAATAAATGTGGGCTTCATTGTATTTCTCTGTCCTTCATCAAAACCAGTGCCCCCCTCCTTCTTTTTAAAAATAAAAGTGGCTTTGCAGAAAAGAAACCGCACAGGACTTGAGTAGGTATACCTGCATTGTAGCCCAAGCTTTGTCCTTAAATGTGTGTTTGACTTTAGAGGTCTTTCATCATTTTGGACTTCAACTTTCTCATATGATGTCTTCTTCCAACTTTATAAAAAAGTTTTTTGCTGTAGTGCATGTGTGCATGTAGAAATGAGACAGACAGAGAGAAATCACCCCCTCACGCACACACAGGAAGGGTGGCCACATCTTAATCCCTTCTTCATTCTCCCCTCAGAATTCTGGTCATGCACACACAATGTGCCCAAATCAGATTTGAACCATACTGTTGGCAATATGGGATCTAGTGCCTCAACCACCACACCACCAGTTGATCTTCTTCCAACCTTAAATCTCTACACCGTCTTTATTTCCTTCTGTAGGATAGCCTTGGGGGTAACAGCAAGACAGCGATGGTGGCTACTGTGAGTCCAGCAGCTGATAACTATGATGAGACCCTCTCAACTCTGCGTTACGCTGATCGAGCCAAGCACATCGTTAACCACGCTGTGGTAAATGAGGATCCTAACGCTCGGATCATCCGGGATCTCCGGGAAGAGGTTGAGAAACTCCGAGAGCAGCTCACCAAAGCGGAGGTATGAGGCACAGCTGAGCGGTGCTGGGAGTGACCGGGAAGACCTAGTTGAGCTGGAGCTGGCGTCTCTGCCCCTTTGGCTTATGTGAGGAGTACTCAGAATGTTTGAATTTCCTTCAGGAAGAGAAATTTGAGGCGAATAATAAGTAAAATTGTCATATTTGAGATTTAGTGACTTTTTACAGGCCTTAAAGGGTCAAATAGGGGGAGAGAATAAAGGGAATTAAGAAAATTTTTCTTTCCATTTCTGTCCAGGCAGAAGTTAAGAGAGAAAGGGTATAATAGAATAGGGAGAGACAGAGGGAGCGGAGTGTATGTAATTTAATTCTAGTGCAGAAAGTGCTGAAGACTGCACCTTGACCAATTAGAAGAGGAATCACGCAGATTCGTGTTGTGTCTTTCATTTGCTAACTGGTAGAAGTTACAGTGAAAATCTTGAGGTCTTCCACAGTTTTTTTTTCTCTTTTCCACATGGGAATCTAGCACCTCAACCACCATGCCACCTGCTGGCTCTCTCCCATCTAACAATCTAGCTTTTCCTTGTTATGGGTTCATTATGTTTCTAAGGTGATAAAACCTATTGGGTCATCAAAAAAGTCATGATGCATCTTTGCATAGGTAAAGATAGAAAAATACGTCATGACTTATCTGACAACTCAATATTTTACAACGGAAGCAAACGTGTAGTGGTACTCTTTTCAGTTGTCTCCTTTATATTCTCTAGTTGATGGTGTTTGTTTCATTAAAACCTACACAGTTCTAACCTACAAGTGCTCAGAAGTGGGGGAAATACCAGATTCAGGATTCCTACCTGAGTTATCATTTCTTTTTCCACAGTTACCCAACCTTAGGAGACCTTTCTCAGGGCAGATACCATAGCCCTTTTTTTTCTCAGCACCTGTTTCCTGGTAGTAAAGCAGTCAAATACAGAGTTAAGACAGTTCTCCTGGTTATGTTTTTGCCTGTTGAATGTCATCCTGTTTTTATAGGGATAATTTTACAGTTCATTAAGACTCCTTGGAAATTGGTTTTATTTCCCTGGTATTAATAATGTCATCCAGTTTGCAGTATGTACACAGTCTGTATTTGAATAAATTCCTCACGTCATCAATAAAGACTAGAATGACTCACGTCTGAGCCTAGATGATCGTCTATTAGAATGTAAAGACTAAGCCTTTAATAAGCCTAATGTTATGTTTTTAAACATAATTAGATCTTCACTCTAGGTGGGAGGAAGAGGAAAAGGTTAAATCTTCCCTTTTAGGCTGCTTTGGGGAACTTGAATTCGTGGCCCTCACGCAGTCTAGGTGCTGGGATCGGCGATGGTCCCTTGTTATGTTTTGGGTAGATTCAGACTCGGCACACTGTGGAGCTGAGAGGAGCCAGGTTGTTGCTTTCATCCTTTCAGAGTTAGCAAATTCTTTTTCCAGGACATCGTCCAGACATTTCATGAAGTAAACATTTTGCTTGCAGGCAATGAAATCTCCAGAGCTCAAAGACAGGCTGGAAGAATCTGAGAAGCTAATCCAGGAAATGACCGTGACCTGGGAAGAGAAGTTAAGGAAAACCGAGGAGATCGCACAGGTTCGTGTTTCCTGATTAAGAGTGAAACCTCGTGGCAGTTTGCATCGTGGGACACAGATGGCAGTTTGGGCTGTTACGAGTCTTGGTTTTGTTGCTGGCAAATCTGTTAGCATCACTAATAGGCATCTAGATCCAAGAGAATCTTTATAACATTAATTTGAAGGATAAAGAAAGCATAATTGAAATAGATTATTATGTAAAAAATAATTCTTCAGTGTTAGTAAACATGATTTTTTTTTTTTAAACTCTGAACCCTATATTGTATTCACTATTGGGTTGTCTGGAAAGTCATGGTATATTTTTCTGTTTTTCTTTATAAAAATGTGTCATGGCTCAATACTTTGGAAACCTTAGGAACTTACTAAGATTATATAATTACTAGTAGGAAATGAGCTTCTTACTTTCATGTGACAACTCAGTAAAAGTAATATGAAATACCTAAGTCCAAGGGACACTCTCTCATTAGAAAACTTACTGTAGTTAGTTTTGTGAAATCTTAGGGTGGGAACATTAGTATTAGCCTAGGAAGATTTATTCAAGTAAAGCATTGGGAGAAAAATGCCCAAAAGTCTAATTATCTACTTAAAATACTTACTCTCCGGCTTTCCTCTTACATGGTTATCAGCCTCTGTTTTAGACATGTGTGATAGCGTGGAGCTCAGAACCCCGTCCAGCAGCCTTGTCACGATTGGACAATTACTGTAATAGCTCTGTCATTGAGATCACTTAGTCTTTCATTTCCACTCGTTGGCCCTAGTTTGCTCGTCTATAGCTGAGGGACTAAGTGTCCCATCTGTGTGCAGTAACTGATGATAGCAGTAATAGCCCACCTTTATTGGGTACGCCGAGTATCCAGTCCTGTGCTAAGCACTTTTTAACTACCATCTTTTACCTATTCCTGTCACTAGCCCTACTCGACAGGACTGTTATTACCTAATATGATTGTTCAGTTACTTTAAGTCACTTCATTGGCTTTCTTTTTCTTTATCTTTTTATTTATTTATTTATTTTAATTTTAAGGTGTGTGTGTGCTAATCAGAAAGAGAGAGAGAGGTGAGAAATCACTGCCCAAAGGGGACAGCCACATTGCAGTCCCCTGTCCTTCAGTCTCCTTTTGGGATTTTGCACATGCACGCACATGTGCCCAGTATGGTTTCCAAACTGGGACTGGGACTCAAATCATGTAGCCAGCACTGTGGGATCCATTGCCTTAACTTCTATGCTACCTGCTGGCCCATCCCTTCCTTTTCTAAGTTAAAAATACCTGAATGTTTTTAGGTGTTCCTTGTATTAGAGAATAAATAGCGCTTGTTTCATCCTTTGTTACCCAGTAGATCGCATCTTTAAATGTGCTGTCCACATCAATTTACATATCACATGTTGTAGGATGGTACTGCTGTTATTTAGCCTTATGTTTATGTTATTACAGGCTAGAATTTAGTTTGATTTTTTATTACAGGCTAGAATTTAGTTTGATTTGTAAATAACAAGTAATTCTTTAATAAATAAATAGAATGAGACCATAAGTGAGGGTGTAATTGATCTCTCATAGCATGAACTCTTTTTCATAAATTATAAGTCATCATCAGAGTCGTCCACTTTGGAGCTACTTTATGTGCTCCTTTTTGAGCTACTCTAAAAGCAAAATACTGATTTTGAAGTGCTGTTGAGCTCAGAGCAGGCTAGGTCGGAGGAAGGTCACGGGCCTCCAGAAGTGTACCTTTGGCATTAGTCCTCCTCTCCTCTCGGGGCCAGGTTGAAGCCTGATGAACCTTACTGAGGGAGTTTGGACTTCAGCCCAGCTGGAGAGTTGCTGAAGATGTCAAGTGGGAGAGTTTATTGAAATCTTTACTTTTTAGAAAGATCACAGCGGAGTAAAAAGCATTCACATTTACTCATATATACAGAAATAAGATAGTTAAACTCAAGATTAGGGCTTTGCCCCATTTTACCCAACACCTCTTCAAGGCCTTACCTTCTGGAGCCCCCAGGCTGTTGTGCTCTTGGTCTTTTTCACCTTTCTCATGGAAAAACCTGGTCTGGTGATCTTTTACCTCTTCCTAATCTGGACTGGAATTTTCCAGAATTTATTTCTAACACTGTAGCCATGAATATTAATGTGTCTTCTGAGGAAAAAAATAGTCCATGGTCAGATCTCAGTTTGGGAAATTCTATATAAACTGAGTTCAATGGATTTGTGCTTTTCTCTTTAAAATTTGCTATAGGTTGCATACACACATACACCACAGAGAGTCAGAGAAAGTGAGGAAGTGCTCCCTGGGAGGGGGGTGGCCACACAGTAGTCCCTTCTCTTCCATTCTCCTCTTGGGATTTTGGACATATTGTGTTTTTCAAGTTGTTGGGTCTAGAACTCGAACTACACAGTTGACAAGGTGGGATCCAGCCACCTTAACCACCACACCACCTGGCTGGTCCCAATGGATTTCTTTTTTGGAGGAATTCTCAGTCATTTTGCAAGTCATCCAGGCTCTCTGTATGTCCTTTGTGCTCTGTGGCATTGATCCTGCATAAGATCGCCCCTGCCATGGAATTGCCATGCAACTTACCTGCACCCTTTGACCCTGAAGTTATGCAGTTGTTACCGTTGTTTAATCATTTGTCTTGTTTGGTTTCCTAATGAGTTTGTAAGGTGCTCAAGAGAAAAGGCCGTGTCTTATAATATTTTAGATGTTGGCTCACTGATGTTTTTGGATAAACAAAATTGAAGAGGATTATTTTCTAACTCCAGTGTTATATCCACCACACCAAATTACCTTTAATTTTATTTTATGTTTTCATTTAGAAATGCACAGTTAAGTGAAATTAAAACTCTGATATCAGTGGTTGCAGACAGTGCCTCTGGTCTGCCACTTGTTTCTGTAAAGGAAGTCTTACTGGAAAATCATTATGCTCATTTGTTTATGCATGTATGGCTTTGACAGCAGAGTTGAATAGTCACGGTTTGGTTTCCAAACTGGGACTGGGACTCAAATCATGTAGCCAGCACTGTGGGATCCATTGCCTTAACTTCTATGCTACCTGCTGGCCCATCCCTTCCTTTTCTAAGTTAAAAATACCTGAATGTTTTTAGGTGTTCCTTGTATTAGAGAATAAATAGCGCTTGTTTCATCCTTTGTTACCCAGTAGATCGCATCTTTAAATGTGCTGTCCACATCAATTTACATATCACATGTTGTAGGATGGTACTGCTGTTATTTAGCCTTATGTTTATGTTATTACAGGCTAGAATTTAGTTTGATTTTTTATTACAGGCTAGAATTTAGTTTGATTTGTAAATAACAAGTAATTCTTTAATAAATAAATAGAATGAGACCATAAGTGAGGGTGTAATTGATCTCTCATAGCATGAACTCTTTTTCATAAATTATAAGTCATCATCAGAGTCGTCCACTTTGGAGCTACTTTATGTGCTCCTTTTTGAGCTACTCTAAAAGCAAAATACTGATTTTGAAGTGCTGTTGAGCTCAGAGCAGGCTAGGTCGGAGGAAGGTCACGGGCCTCCAGAAGTGTACCTTTGGCATTAGTCCTCCTCTCCTCTCGGGGCCAGGTTGAAGCCTGATGAACCTTACTGAGGGAGTTTGGACTTCAGCCCAGCTGGAGAGTTGCTGAAGATGTCAAGTGGGAGAGTTTATTGAAATCTTTACTTTTTAGAAAGATCACAGCGGAGTAAAAAGCATTCACATTTACTCATATATACAGAAATAAGATAGTTAAACTCAAGATTAGGGCTTTGCCCCATTTTACCCAACACCTCTTCAAGGCCTTACCTTCTGGAGCCCCCAGGCTGTTGTGCTCTTGGTCTTTTTCACCTTTCTCATGGAAAAACCTGGTCTGGTGATCTTTTACCTCTTCCTAATCTGGACTGGAATTTTCCAGAATTTATTTCTAACACTGTAGCCATGAATATTAATGTGTCTTCTGAGGAAAAAAATAGTCCATGGTCAGATCTCAGTTTGGGAAATTCTATATAAACTGAGTTCAATGGATTTGTGCTTTTCTCTTTAAAATTTGCTATAGGTTGCATACACACATACACCACAGAGAGTCAGAGAAAGTGAGGAAGTGCTCCCTGGGAGGGGGGTGGCCACACAGTAGTCCCTTCTCTTCCATTCTCCTCTTGGGATTTTGGACATATTGTGTTTTTCAAGTTGTTGGGTCTAGAACTCGAACTACACAGTTGACAAGGTGGGATCCAGCCACCTTAACCACCACACCACCTGGCTGGTCCCAATGGATTTCTTTTTTGGAGGAATTCTCAGTCATTTTGCAAGTCATCCAGGCTCTCTGTATGTCCTTTGTGCTCTGTGGCATTGATCCTGCATAAGATCGCCCCTGCCATGGAATTGCCATGCAACTTACCTGCACCCTTTGACCCTGAAGTTATGCAGTTGTTACCGTTGTTTAATCATTTGTCTTGTTTGGTTTCCTAATGAGTTTGTAAGGTGCTCAAGAGAAAAGGCCGTGTCTTATAATATTTTAGATGTTGGCTCACTGATGTTTTTGGATAAACAAAATTGAAGAGGATTATTTTCTAACTCCAGTGTTATATCCACCACACCAAATTACCTTTAATTTTATTTTATGTTTTCATTTAGAAATGCACAGTTAAGTGAAATTAAAACTCTGATATCAGTGGTTGCAGACAGTGCCTCTGGTCTGCCACTTGTTTCTGTAAAGGAAGTCTTACTGGAAAATCATTATGCTCATTTGTTTATGCATGTATGGCTTTGACAGCAGAGTTGAATAGTCACGGTAGAGACCATATGGCCCATAAGGGCTGAAATACTTACTATCTGACATTTTATGGAAAAAGTTAGTGAACCCTTTGTATCAGAAGCAATATTCTATATCAGAAAACACAACTGTATGTTATCATACAATGCTTTTTTATTTTATGAGCTGATTCCTAGATGGTGCAAATATTTGTAGTTTTATAGATGAGTAAAAACGTTAAAGCTTTCAGTGATAAATATAATAACAAGTTGACGGTTTTCCACCATTATGCCTTTTTTGGTGTAGACAAAAATTTTACGATGTTTTTAACCTTTAAAAACTAAGTCAGGACATGCATGGCATTCCCTTTTAAAAAAGCAATGTAATACACTGTAAAGTTATATGCAATTCAATGTAATATAAACAAGATTATGATGATAATAAATAAATTGAATAAAAACCCTGAAGTCAGAAAAATGCATAGAAAGTAGCATAGAAAAGTTGTTTCCTGCCAGGGATAACTTAGAGAAAGGTATATTAGAATTACTTTCCTCATTTTAGGAACATGGTTATTTATCAAATATAATTTCTTGGAATTCAGTGTTGAAAACACTAGTGTCTAGTATAAAACTACTAAAAATGGAAAGAACTCTGGAGTTCATTTTGTTAGATGAGACATTTGATTCAAAGACCCAGGACCTTTCCATGTATAAAAATCACTTTCCATTTTTGTAAGTGTACTTCTCAGTGGGATGTATTGACTGAGTTGCAGTGACCACATAAATTAGGATGGTATGCCTAGAAAGAACAAAATTCTGAAGCTTTATTTTAATGAGGGTGTATATTAACTTTGTGGCTTAACTGGTTTTTTTTTTTTTTTTTTTTTTTGTCCTCCCCCCCTTATCAAAGGTCTTAGGTGACTGTGACTCATCACTCCTTGGTATTTACCCAAAGCCAAGGACACCCCACCCTGTGTGCCCTCCTCTGCACATACATTTGTATGTTGCACAGATTCTGAGGCAGGCAGGTACTGAAGGAGCAGGTTCATACATATTCTTATGAAAATAGTGCTTCAGTGCATGTGTGAGGATTTTTTTCTTTTTTTATAAATTCACAGCATGACTATCTTGAGTGTTCACTGTGTATCCTGTATGTTGTTGGTGCTGGGGGCATAACACGGTGGAGAGGATAGTACCCATGCCCACCCACTTCATAGTCAGGGCTGCGAGAGATGCTCCAGTGAACAGTTAGCTAGTATGAGGACAAGTCTGCTGCAGTAGACCGAAGGGATATAAAGTCCCTTCAGTGAAAGAAAACAAAGGGAGCGTTCTTAGCACTTTCAGGGGCCTTGAAGATGTCGCATAGAACTGCACTGTAGGGTTTGCAAGTCAGAGTGACAAGGAGAGTGCAGAGGACGTGGGCCAGGTTGAAGGCCTGACGAACTTTATTGAGGGAGTTTGGCCTTTGTCCCAGCTGAGAAGTTGCTGAAGGGTGTTCAATGGGAGAGTGTATTCAGATCTTTCCTTTTTTCACATATATACAGAATTAACTAAGATGAATTCAAGATGTCAAATATTTTCAAGAACAAAAATTGAAAACTTGGTTGCTGTTTATAATATACTTGATTTTTTTTTTCAAAAGAATTTAAGTAACAAAATAAAAACTTTCCCCACAAAGCCTCTAGGACCAGGACTTTTAACTGTGTGGTCAGCCATGTGGGATCCAGCCTCCTTAACCACTGCCCCATGGGCTGGCCCAAAATAAAACATTTCTATGTAGTTTGGAAAGGAGAGAAAAATACGGTTGTCTATAATGCTATACTCTAATACAGCATACTTGAATTATAAAAATATGAATAATTACTCAAAGATTGTAAGTTCTGTTATGTCTCACTGCCTCTATAGTTGTGAATTAATGCTTCTCTACTACATTACAGGAGAGACAGAAACAACTTGAGAGTCTTGGGATATCTCTTCAGTCTTCTGGAATCAAAGTTGGGGATGACAAATGTTTCCTTGTTAATCTGAATGCTGACCCTGCTCTGAATGAACTTCTGGTGTACTATTTAAAGGTAATAAGCTTTGATGCTAATTTTCTGCCACAAACTATAATAATATTTCACAATATTATCTTAAATTTGGGGAACTATTCTTAATTGTTAGCTATTAGGTTAACAAATTGTTTTAATTTACATAGCCTAGAGTATAGAACAGTCTTGGGTTTCTGGGATCAGCTTTCCTTTTTAGTCTTTGAATATTGTCATTCATCTTAGTAATATAGAAGAATGATATTCTTATATTATTTCCAACAAGTTGAATAGTTTTGAAGTGGAAAACTTTAAAGTTTACAGGAAGACTTGTAAGACTAAATGATTAATTTAGTGAGTAGACTAAAACTTTTGTGGTTTATATGAAGCTTTCTGTGAGCAGTTTGCTAGGTCACAAGAGGAAATGTTTAAAGAAAGTTTTGTGCTTTTTTTTTTTTTTCTATAAAGCGTATCTGCTTACCGGAGACACACACACACACACACACACTGAGAAGGCACTCCTTGGGAGGATGGCTACACCACATTCCTTTCTCCTCTATTCTCCTCATGGGATTTGGGGCACACATTCACATGAACCCAGCATGAGTTTCTAACTACCTTGTCTGGGACTCGAACCATGCAATTAGCCATGTGAGCACCAGATGCCTTAACCTCCATGCCACCTGCTGGCCTGGAGGTGTAGTTCTTAGGACCATTCGATAAGAAATTTAAATTCAGAGTAACTCTTAGGAAAAATTTAAAATTTGGATTTTCAATGTATTAAAACAAGAGATAATATGTTGCTTAAAGATGGAAAGGGTCAGATTGTAGAACAGAAAAAAAGGCAAATGTTGGTATTCATTGACATTTATAAATTACGAATGTATTAGGAAAAAAGAGACAGCTTTGGAATGCACATGAACCTTGAGACAACGTAGGTTGTGAGGAGTGCTCCAGAATTGCCTTTGTCAAGACCTGCGCATAAATTAATTGTAAAATGAACTATATGACTCTAACATAGGGTTAATAACTACTACAAGGTTTCTGTCTTCCTCATATATGTGGATTTAACTAACGTAACATGGAAAGTAGAGTTAACAAGCTAATTAAGTTGAAAACAGCTTAGCATGAGAGAGTTGTGGGGCCATTAAGTGGTGTAATGGTTAAGGTGCTGACTTCCACCTGGCCGAACATGGTTTGAACTTCATGCCAGGCACATGTATGTGTGTGCCCAAAATCCTGAGAGGAGAATGGAGGAGAAGGGATTGTGGTGTGGCCATCCCCCCTGGGGCGTGATTTCTCACTTTCTGTCTCTATCTCTCCGGTGAGCACACGTGCCCTATAACAAAAATCTCTCTTAAAAAACATAAAAAGATGAGAGAGTTATGTGCTTTTCTTTCTTTTCTTTTAAACAATATGCCTTTTTAAAAATGAATTATTCAATTTTATCCGTTATTATTACTTAGTTTTAATTCACCAGAGAGAGGGAGAGGGAAAGTGAAAAGCAAGCCACCAGGTCCAGTACTTGAACCATGGTCAGCCATGTGGGAGTCCAGTGACCACACCACCTGCTGGCCCATGTGTGCTATTATTTCTTTAAAAAAAAAAAAAAAAGATTCAAGGAACACAGGCTAGTTTCTATTTGTTATTGAAGATGTCTGGGAATAATTGCATTGTGTTGTTTTGAGAAGGTCTTTTTGTATTTTTTTATTGGTTTTATTTTCTTCATGAGAGAGAAGCACAGCAATATAGGCAACCCCCTCCCCCCCCAAACAGGGTCTTCTGGTCTTAGCTGGTCTGGATTACGGGCAAATGTGTGCATTCCCGTAATACTCAGGGAGGTCCTGAGATGCGAACTCAGGATCTTTTCCATGGGAGTCCAATTGTGTTCCCACTCTGCCACCACCTGGCTGGCCCCTTATTAATTAGCATCTCATACCGTGACACTGTTTTGTTATGCTGTGAATTAAGTGATGTCTTTGATAAATACCTACTGGGTGCATGTACCTAATGGGTGCACTTCCTTTGTTAAAGGATGGAAGTTATCTCTGGCTACTTGGCACAGTTCCTGTGAGGATTAGATATGTAGAAGCATTTTATTAATGGAAACACCATATGAATATAAAATATTCTGCATTTTGCTTTTTTCTTTGACACGTTGTAGTCCATAGTATGCATATTGTCTGCTTATTAGACAATGATGCATTTATTTATCACATCACTTCCTGTGCTTTTAAACAATGCTGACAGCATTTAGAGTTAGATTATCAGCTATAGACAGTTAATGCTGTGAGATGCTGTACTGGGGCCAGTAGATGGCATGGTGTGCTTAAGGCACTGGATTTCCACATGGCTGATCACGGTTTGAATCCTGGACCCAGCAACTTGAAAATCATGCTGGACCCATGTCCCTGCATGCCCAAAATCCTGAGAGGGAAATGGAGGTGAAGGGATGGTAGTGTGGCCAACCCATCCCCCCAGAGGGTTATTTCTCACTTTCTCTCTTTCTCTGGCGAGCACACGTGCCCTGTGGCAAAAACCTGAAAAAAGAAATATATATTGAGAGATGCAGTATTAGAACAGAACTTAGATATTCTACCCTTTTTATTTCTCAGAACTAGGAATTCTTTTTCTGAAGTGATGTAGTTTGAATTGGAACGCATAGGCACACACACACCAAGAAAAAAAACCTGATTCATATCTGTTTTTGATGAAAAAATTAAACAAAGAAACTATTTAGAGACTTTTGGAGAGTGGTCAAAATATTTCTGGCCATCTCGTGTGGAGGTGTTTGGGTTCTGTTTCAGGCTGTGTGGTCAGCCCAGTCTTGGCTGAGTTTGAGGCAGTGTTGCCTTCTTGACTGCCCAAGCTGACCTCATGGCAAGAATATATTCATGACAAAGCACATTCAGAAGGATGAGCTCAGCCCAAGAACAGTTTTTGCTTCAGTAAATTGATAACCATGATGTGGGATGGAGGAATTTGGAGGCCAAGCGTTTTGTTTTGTTTTGTTTTTGCCTTCAAATTCTCAAGTCAGTTTAGATGCTGGGCAGTTGACTTCACATCTCTGGGTGACTTTAGCCACCCTGTCTCTAAGAGAAGGCACTGGATTAAAACATCTGTAAAGTTCTTTTGTAGTTCCATGTCGAATGGCTCTCTTACCCTTCTAGAAAGTATTCTCCATTGATTGATTCTGGCATACTTTATAGTAATATACTTTAGAATCATTATACCCACCTTTACATATAGAAACTGACATGCTATTCCTGATTAACTTTGTTGTTTTGATTATCTTGTACCTTCATAGCATTTAGGTCCTCATTAGGTAATCTTCTATACCAACCTATAGTAAGTTTCTCATTTCCCTCATCAGATTTCTTATGCAGTGATTGGTACAGTAGGAAGAGCTCATCAAAATCTATTGACTAACTTAGTTAGACATGAGGTAGTAAGACTTCGGTGGAGATGAGCTTTTTATTTTTAAAATTTGGAATAGGGCATGCCCTCATTGGAGAGAGAGAGAAAAAAGAGAGAGAGAGAGAGAGAGAGAGAGAGAGAGAGAGAGGGAAAGTGAGCAAGCATTTCTCCTCCACTCTCTTCTCAGGATTTTGGGCATGCATGTGTACATGCCTGGCGTGTTTTCCAAGCTCTCAGCTCTGGGATTCAGACTGTGCTGTCAGCCATATGGGATCCACCTGCCTTAATCACCATGACACCAGCTGGCCCTTGAATAGCTTTCATTTTTGTAGTTGAGTCATTTTGATTGAGATGGGGTAAATGCTATACAATGTAAATAACTGTGATTTTCAGACCAGGATTCCTTTTTTGAAAGAATTATTTATTTAATTTTTTAAATTTGCTATAGGGCACATGTGCTCACCAGAGAAAGACAGAGACAGAGACAGAGAGAGAGAAAGTGAGAAAGCAACCTGCCAGGTCCAGGACTAGAACTGCTGTCAGCCATATCGGAGACCAGCATCTTAACCACTATGCCACCTGCTTGGCAGTGAAACCAGTATTTTCAGTGCTTCATTGACACATAAGAGTATAGTTCATTATAAAAGAATTAGAATAAGATTATGATGGATAATTATAGTATAGACATGAGTATAAAATTATAGGTTAAATTTAAAAGGAGTAACTCAACTGAGTACATTATTCCTTACAAATATTACTGACAGAATGGATTTCAGAGTGAGCCAGGGATTCCCCCACCCCTTCATTTATTTTAATATTTTTTTAGCCAAGGTAACATCAGTGTAAGAGGGCTCAGTGTAGATTATTTCATTCTGTGTACATGTGAAAATAAACTATTAATCAATGAATTTGATTTTTTTCTTAGGAACATACATTGATAGGGTCAGCAAATTCCCAAGATATCCAACTGTGTGGCATGGGGATTCTTCCTGAACACTGTATTATAGACATCACACTGGAAGGCCAGGTTATGCTGACGCCACAGAAGAACACAAGGTACTGTACTTAGCGTTAATGTCACATAATTGTTAGCAGGAAGAAAGTGCACTAACAGTGGGCGGCATTGTCTCCTTTCATTTTTTAGTTCATTTATGACAGCCAGTTAGCTACTAAGCCCTTTGTAATCTAAACCTTTAAAAAAAATTATTTATCAAATTATATTTGTTGGGGCCAGCAGGTGGCATGGTGGTTAAGGTGCTGATTCCCACATGACCGACTGCAGTTCAAGTCCTGGACCTGTGACTTGCTTTCTTTCTTTCCCCTTCTCTCTCTCTCTTTCTCTGTTTGTCTCTGGTCAAGGTAAAATAATAATAATGAATAAAGTTGAATAAATCTAAAAAAATGTATTTGTTACTATTATTATTTTTTAGTTTGATCAGAGCGAGAAAGAGAGAGAAAGTGAAAAAGCAAACCACCAGGTCTGGGACTCAAGCTGCAGTTGGCCATATGGGAGTCCCATGCCTTAACCACCATGCCACCTGCCAGCCTGATAATATAAACTTTTTACCCACTCCCCTTTCCTCCCTGTATCTACTACCGTGGCCATATTTAAGCCTTCATCCAGCCTCGATTAAAACCCCTGCCAGTGCCTAAGGTGCCTCCTGGTCTTACCACACAGCCAGAAGGCTGTCTTCTGTCCTTGGTAAAAAAAAAAAAAAAAAAAAAAAAAAAAAATCCCTATATCCCCTCCTGTTTGTCTCCTGTTCCTCTACATTGCTGTTCCTCTTGTATTTGACCTTTAGCATTCAGCTGTGTTGTTATCTACCTTGGGGAATTCCCTCTGTGGTCTAATATGTGTCCTTAGGGTGTATTCTCCATGCCTTTATGATTTCCATGTGTCATGCTTCCTATTGTGTTCTCATGTGCCTTTGACCTTTGTTACCCATTGGACTTGAGCTCTTTAAGAACAAGCGCCTTTGTTTTTGTTTCTCTGTCCCTAGCTTGCAACATAGACTAGTGCATTAATTCTCAATAACTGGTGAATGAATGAAGAGGCATAACATTTTATAAGTTAAATGCTTGTCAGTTTCCTTTACCTATAAAATTCTTATTATAGTATTACAGAACTGGACTCATACAATATCCATAACTGCTATAGACAGTGGTTAACTGAATTGATCTTCCAAATATTGATTCATTTTATTATAGGATACAAAAAAATCATTAATGTCATCGCTGATTTATCTATTAAATCTTTAATACTGGGGAGTCATCCAGGTTATGGTAAGGAATACAAGTGAAAAAAAAAAAAGAAAGAAAGAAAAAAGAGCACAAACGGGCCTGGCCTTCACAGCTAGTCCATGATGTTCTTCTCTTAGGTATAAATAGTCACAGAGAACACCAAGCTCAGGGAAGCCACCCTGAGACTGGTAACTGTGGCAGAGCAGGCCACATCATCATTTCATTTAAGCATAGATGAAAACACAGGCACCCATGCTACTTACAAAATACCAGACACCATCTCTCGACCAATGTGAGTGACCACTTTTTCAGCAATTACAATATTGTCTTTGTTCTAGTTCCTCCAGCTCCCACTTTTCCAATAAGAATTTTGAAATAACCGATCACGGGATTACTCAACTTTCTGACAGTAGCCAATATATATGGCATCCCCGTTTCCTAAAACCCTCTCTGTAGTCAGCCAACCAGAGCCCACATCTCACAATCAGTCCTTTCTTTTCTTTTCTTTTTTTCTTAAGAGAGATTTTTTTGCTAAAGGGCACGTGTGCTTGCCAGAGAGACAGAGAGACAGAAAGTGAGAAATATCCCTTAGGGGGATGGCCACACCGCAATTCCTTCTCCTCCACTGTCCTCTCGGGATTTTGAGTACCCATGATTACAGGCCCAGCGTGTTTCAAGCCACCGGGTCTGAGATTCAGACCATGGGAGTCCAGCGATATAATCATTATGCCATCTGCTGGTCTCACGATCAGTCCTTTCTAACACTGTCTCACTGAGACACGGTTCCTCACACTGTGTCTTTTCATCCAATATGGTAAAAAAAACCTATCCTGTTCAACCAAAGCAATGTTGACATAAATTTTCCTGAGTTCTAATTTTTTCTTCCCTTTATAAGAGAGAAGGAGCGCGGTAGTGAGGGAGAAAAGGACAGATATGTGGCTTCCAGAGGGTCTTGCCGTGTCATTGCAGATACAGCTGTGCCCAGTGAATTTTATCATTGGCAAAATTTCTTTTTCTTTTTCTTTTTTTGGAGAGGTTTTTGCTATAGGGCATGTGTGCTCGCAGACAGAGAGAGAGAGAGACAGAGAGACAGAAAGCGAGAAATCACCCCCCAGGGGGGATGGCCATGCCGCAATTCCTTCTCCTCCATTCTCCTCCTGGGATCTTGGGCACGTACGCACACGTGCCCGGTGTGAATTTAAGCCACTGGGTCCGGGACTGGAACCGCGGTTGACTACGTGGGAGTCCAGCGACATAGCCATTACGCTAACTGCTGGTCCCATCATTGGCAAAATTTCTATCAGTTATTTGACCTTGAAGTGACAGGCTCACTTTGTTCATTATCAAGAAACGTCACATGTCTGAAAAAGCAGTTTGTGTATGTCAAGACAATCATCATACGTTTATATTCATTGCCAGTTCATTTTCTCTACTTCTCATTTGGTCACCTGAAATATTGAACAAGTTGTGTACTCTGGGTCAAGAGTTAATAAAAGTAGTAAGTGTTGTACTTCCTCAAGGACGTTCTCAAATGAAACACTTGTTTTCTTTCCTGGTGTGTGGCAGGGGGTAACCCTGTGCTCGCCAGCACGCCGGCTGCTGCCGCCTTGGTTTCTGTCAAAGCATCAGCAGTTTCTGCTCAGTTTGTACGAAGGTCAACATGTGATAAAGGGCATGAAACTAGCGTTTTAGCATTACTGTGACAGTTTTCATCTTGGGGACCCCACATGGACTATACTCTGAGAACTGTTATATTTTCTTTTATTTACTTATCATGGCTTAACTGCCATGCTTCTATTGGGTTTGGAAAAGTCATGGTGTATTTTTCGGTTTTGTGTGCAAAAATGCATCATGACTATTCTGACGACTCAGTAAAAGTAAGCCTGTATGTGTTTTGGCTTTTATTAACCTCCTTGCTATATTAGAGGAATTTGTGTCAGATAGGCTAAGCTCTCCTCATTTTATTCAGTCCCCTGCTATCATAACTATAATTTTTTAGCTTGTTCTTTGAATAATCACAATAGAGGAACATAAAGATCACTTACCAGTAGTGCTTGAAACCTACATGGCAAGTAAAATCTAGACAGAGAAAAGATTTCATGGGTATGCATGTACATTAGAAATCATGAACCATGTAAATCTAGTTAAGTGTTTTAGGGATTTAAAGAAACTGAGATACTGCAGGAGTGCTCAGCAGCCTTTACAGAAGAAGTTGGAACTAAACTGGGGTTGGATTGCTGAGTAAGATTCGAGAGATTGGAGAGGAATGGAAACCTCATTCCAGGTTGTAGGACTGATGTGAGCCAACGTTTGGAGGAAGAGTCCGTCATGTGTAGTGTACAGAAAATACACCTTTTGGGGGCAGGATTTTAAAGTTTACTAGAAGAGGGAAAGGAAGCAGGAAAGAAGGCTTCCTTATGGAAGAGAGGGGCCTCAGTGTCCAGGTAAAGAGTTTGGACTTGATCCCCTGAGTTTCAGTGAATGAGTCATTTCAGTGGGAGAGGCAGGATGACACTGGTATTCCAGGAAAATCAATCTTACAGTGATTTGCACAACCTTCTAACTATCTCCTGCCCTTTCAAATTCTTCCCTGAATAATAGCATTCTGTCCACCATTCAACTATTGAATTCCATTTTCAAGATAAGCATTCCAGTGGGACTGGTAAATCTTTTATATATTGATAGGATGTGAACATTTTTCTGTGCTATAGGAAATTCCCAAACAATTTAACATAGGTCTCTTTTATTATTACTGGTATCTGTAGGTATTTTTAGAATCTGTTGGGTTGTCTGGAAAATCATGACACATTTTTGCATAGAGAAATATAGTTGGTTGTCTTTTAATTCATCTAGATCAACACACTTGTTTTACCTGCAGTGTATTCTGTTGCTATCTCTTCATGATAGTCTGTAACAGTTCCATTTTTGCTCCTCAATATACTGTATAACAAATTTAGAACTTTGAAAAATGGAGGATAAGAATCTATTGTACTTAGTACAATAAGCATTTTAGGTTAAATCAGTAAAGTAGTAAATACAAATAATAAAATTCACCAAGGATAAATTGTATTTTAGGGGATGAATTATTCTTTTTTTCTCTAGTAACTAGATCTCTGTAGCACCGGAAAATTAAAGCAGAAGGCATGATAATCACTCTTCACGTGTTTGACCTCTTCTCCTTACAGAACTTTCGTAAATGGGTCCTCTGTCTCTAGTCCGATACAGCTGCACCATGGAGACAGGATATTATGGGGAAACAACCATTTCTTCAGGTATGACATTGTTCATAGCCCTCAAAGTGGGAGGTTATTAGAGGATATGCTCTAAAATAGAAAAATATATATTAAAAAGTAAACTTAACTCCATAAAAATTATACTTTTTTGTGTGTGTGTATAGATATACATATTATCTGTGTATGCTTTATGTATTATACACATAGACACACACGTATTTGTTCACTATATGTAAGGTCTGAACCCTGTATGAATAGTATATTCAGATAAAATACATATTTTTCTTTATTTTAAAAGAATTATGTAATTTTATTTTGATTATTGTTTATATATATTTTTACAGTTTGGTATAGGGCATTTGTGCTCACCAGAAGGAGAGAGAGAGAAAGTGAGGGAGAAAGCAAGCCACCAGGTGAGGGACTTGAAATGTGGTCAGCCGTGTGAGAGTCCAGCACATTAATTACCATGCCACCCACTGGCCCCGGTTTTTTTTCCTTTTAATTTCCCAGTAGTAGGGTTTTTTTTTTTGCCATCTGGTATAAGATCCATTCCTTTTTTTTTTTTTTTCAGATATGCTTATCTTCTTATTTTTTACTGAAAAATAATTGTGATTTTAGTTTCCTTGTCCAAAAAATAACATTGGCTTTCTTAAAGGAATGCTTTTAGCTGCAGTAAATGGCAAGTTTGACTGTAATGCTTAAACAGATCATTTATTTACCTGACAACACAAGAAATCTGGAGAAAGGTCACTGTTCACATTGGTTAAGGATCTCAAAAATGTTGTGGCTGAAGGCTTTTCATTGTCTTGGCATTTCCCTATGGTCTAAAGATGACCATGCCACTCTAGCTGTCAGAGTGGCATTCCAGAGACATAGGAAGAAAAAGAGACCAGTGACAATATTAGCTTTGACTGTTCTCTTACTCAGGAAATGCAGAAGCCTTCCCAGGCTCCTAGTGATCTTCCAGCAATGTTTCTTTTGCTAGAATTTGCCTCTGCAAGGGAGGCTGAGAGAAAGGTGTCTTATCTGGGACCACACCCATCATTTTCCAAACAACATTGGCAGTGTGTTTGCAAGGGCAGGCAGGCTGGATGTTGTCTAACATTTAAATTCTGGTTGCTTCCTCTTCCTATCAGCCTATATATGTAAGGTGTCAAACACACTTTTCTTTTTAAATTAAAAGAAGTTTTTTTTTTTCTTTTATAATTTTGTCAGAGGGCAGCATGCTTGCTGAGGGGGGCTGTGGGAAAGAGAATGAGAGATAACTCCTCGTGGCGGATGCTCATGCCACAGTCACTTTTCCATTTCTCCCTCCTTTTCAATCTGACTTTTCCTGTAGCTAGTTGAGATCCTTTGTCGTAGACCAGTTAATATTTTGACTGTTGAAAAAAGATGGGCTCAAAGAACGTGGACGTTTAAAATTTTTTCCTTCTCGAGCTAAATCAGGTTGTCAGTTGCTTAGCTTAGTATTCGGTACCTTCATAGTTTGAATTAAGGTGATGTTTCTAGCTTTATTTCTCAATTCTTGCTATGTAAATTTTTTTAAAGGTTTTTGCCATAGGGCACATGCACTCACTAGAAAGCAACAGAAAGAGAGAGTGAGAAAGTGAGAAATCACCCCTCAGGGTGGATGAGTATGCCGCAATCCTGTCTCCTGTATCCTCCTCCTGGGATTTTGGGTACACACTTGCTCCCAGAGCGATTTTCATGTTAGGTCTAGGACTCAAACCACTGTCAACCATGTTGGAGTCCAGCACCGTGACCACCACGCCAGCTGCTGGCCACTGTATAAATCTTGTGTACCCTCACATTGTGTTCTCCAGCTCCCATAAGCATTTCTCTTTCCCACCTTTATTCAGGCTATTCTCTCTGCTCTACTTTCGGCTTTTCCTTCAAGGCTCAGCTCGTCTAATTTCCTCCTCTATCATACCTGCCTTCATGTATTTCAGTCTGAAGTGGTCTTCAGTTTCCCTTTAACATCTGGTTTATAATGGCCAGGTGGCCCTGTGTGACACTGTGTCTTGTGATTATTTGTGCACATGTGTTTTCTTTCTGCTACCAGAGTATGAAGTGCCTGAAGACAGCTGTTGCCTTGAACTTTCTTGATATTGCCTTTGCATTCAGAAAATGCCATTACCTAATGAGTCAAACAAATAAGTTGCCTATCTCAATTTTTTTTTATTAACTTTTTATTTTTTCCTTTCAAGACTCAATCTGCCTAAAAAGAAAAAAAAAGCAGAACGAGTGGATGAGGAGCAAGACACCTCCCTAAAGAATGACAGCTCTGAGCAGCTGGATGTTGATGGAGACTCCTCCAGTGAGGTGTCCAGCGAAGTTAACTTCAGTTATGAATACGCACAGATGGAGGTCACCATGAAGGCCCTGGGCAACAATGGTGAGCAGCTCTGTCGTGGCTTGCCACGTCTTCAAATTGGTAGACTGTTGAAACTATTTCCAGTTGAGTCCCTCTAAATGTTAGCAAGAGAGAAAATCTTTACACTGCTGGCCTTTGTATTATTGTATATTTTTGGCTTTACTGGTTTATTGTATATATTTATGAAAACTTATATTCTTTCTCCTTAATATACACTTAAATCACTGCTCACTTGTCTTCACTGGTAGAATTTCTCAGGTTTGAAACTTGATGACCAGTGGCTCATTATTATTATCGAGTATTTCTGAACCATTCACCACACCTTAGGGTTATTTGTGGGACATAAACAAGCCCTGCTTTTTCTATAATGGAAGACAGTTGGGAGTATATCCCACTGAGGTAGCAACTTAAGTAAGGGAAAAAGTAAGGGAAGCTAGGTTTACTCCAGATTGCCTTCAGTGCTATCAGTCAGGATGGCGGACAGTGCAGCTGTATAGAATGACATTCACAGTTACTGTACTGTGACTTCTGTCCCTTGTTTATGTTTGGTAAAATCATGTTCAGACCCAATGCAGGCACTGTTGAACAGCCTGGAACAACAGCACGAAGAAGAGAAGCGCTCTGCCCTGGAGCGCCAGAGGCTCATGTACGAGCATGAGTTGGAGCAGCTGAGAAGGAGATTGTCTCCAGAGAAGCAGAGCAGTCGGAGCATGGACAGGTTTTCTTTCCACTCACCCAGTGCTCAGCAGCGCCTACGCCAGTGGGCTGAGGAGAGGTAGGTGTGGAGGGGCTCGTTGCCGGTACCGCTCATACTGTCACCTCTAACCACTCAGAGCAGCTGCCAAATGGGCACATTCAGGTGTTTCTTGCAGGAGAATGATACCAAGAGTGTTAAGCCAAGAACTACTTTGTATTATTATTATGTCCATTTTTTAAAAGATAAGACTTGCCAACTTCTATTGATTATTTCAAACTGCTTACATTAGGTACAGTCTCATTCTTGGTTTGTATGGCTTTTGGATTTGAATAAAGAAGTATATACTGGGACCAGCAGTTAGCGTAATGGCTATGTTGCTAGACTCTCGAGTAGTCAACTTTGGTTCAAGTCCTGGACCTGATGGCTTAAACTGATGCTGGGCATGTGTGCATGTTGCATACCCAAGATCCCAAGAGGAGAATGGTGGAGAAGGGACTGCGTCATGGCCATCCCCCCTGGGGCCTGATTTCTTGATCTCTGTCTCTGTCTCTCTCTGTCTTTATGGTTGGCATTTGCACCCTATAGCAAAAACCTCTCCAAAAAAAAAAAATGTTAAGTATATACTATATCATTGTATTACGCTTTAGGTTCTGAAGCTTGGGTAGATGATTTTTTTAAAAAAGGAAAATTGTTTATCTGGACTGATGAGCCCAGGTGGGTAAAACATGGTGCTAGTAAGATGCAGATGGCAAGTTTGGTCTCTGGATGGGCTAATTACTGTTTCACTAAAATGCGTTATTCCCGGGTTACAGACTGTGCTTACTAACCTCATGCTATTCAAAGTTTGGTCTGCAGGCAGGCAGTATCCCTACTACCAGATCTCCTAAGTCCAAATTTTGAGTTCATCCAGAGTCCCATGTAATTAGCATACACAGAGAAGCTTGCCTTATCTATGGCCAGCTTGCTGCACAAGTGCCTGTGAGTGCTTTAATGTCTCCCAGATACAAGTGTGTGCATGGGTCAGTGGCCATAATACACTCTGTGTGCAGAAGACAATAGTCAAGCTTGGTCCGCACTTTGGCATTATGTATTATTACTGTATGATTTTCTGCCATGTTGTTTTATCTGCTGTCTCGTCCCACCTCTGCCATCTCCCTGATTTGCTCGTTTGTTTTTTAAGGGAAGCAACATTGAATAACAGCTTGATGAGACTGAGGGAACAAATCGTTAAAGCCAATCTACTGGTGAGAGAAGCTAGTTTTATTGCAGAGGAACTGGATAAAAGAACAGAATATAAAGTTACCCTACAGATTCCAGCCTCCAGCCTGGATGCCAACAGGAAGGTGAGGTTGCCATTCATTGAAAAAAAAAAAACAAATATCCGATCTTACTAGATAAAATGACTTTATGTTTCTCTGGGAATTTTTAAACTCCTATGGGTTTGCCATCAAAGCCCTGTCTAGACCCCCTCAGTATATTTCTTTTTGTTCTCTTTGTGGGCATATGTGTGTGTGTGTGTGTGTGTGTATACACATACATATACATATATATACATACACATACATACACACATATATACATTTATATACACTATATATATGCATGATATATGCATAAAATACATATATGCACATATAAAAATACATCACATATATACACATGTATGTATATATTAAATATATATAAACATGTATGCACACACATATGTGTGTGTGTATTTAAATATGTGTGTGTGTGTTTAATCTGCTAAGAATATCCTAATCACTTCCTCTGATCCTACCAAGTCATTTCAGTCAGCTCCCTTTTTTCAAGTCTGTTCAAATTATTTCTGAGATTTTTTTTTTTTATTAGTCTTCTGCCTGTTCAAAAACCAGTCTAGGGGGACCAGCAGTTAGCGTAATGGCTATGTTGCTGCCCAGCAATGTTGGCATTGAGAATTCGCAAAATGTGCTGGAACTTCTCAGGGATCACTATAGACATGGCGGCGGCACAAGCGGCAGCCTGTAGGCCTCCTGTGGAAGAGGGGATTTCTGTTTCTTAAGCCAGCAGGACTAGGATCCAAAGCACAGTCAGCCGTGTAGGATCTGGCTTTCCTCACCTATTGACTATTGGGCCAGCCAGACACATGTTGCTTTTATAAGCTGGAAACTTTCAATGAATACTGTGTTTTGGGAGGTGGAATTCAAGTAACAGCTCTTCTGAAGTGATCAGTTCAGTGGCATTTGGTACATTCACAGTTGTGTGCAGCCCTCCCCTCTCCCCAGTTCTGTCCTGTGTAATAATGCATTTAAACTACGTGGATTTGGAAGCTGGCATCACTTGTTTCTTCCAAATGGGACACTTTTTACAGTTTACTCTTTTAAGACTTTTGTGTTTTGTACCCCATTATGATACTATCCTTTCAAAAATTAAAAATTCACACTTTTGAAAGCATGAACTTAACCATATATTTTAACCATATACCCCAGTAAACCTTCCCTTACCATTTGATGCTTAGAACACTCCTCTACCCATAATTCTGTGCTCGTATGGTAGCCTGAATAAATCATTTTTATTTCCATTTCCCATTAAACATGGTCTTATATTCTGCATTTTAAATTTAAATTTAGGCCCAGGTGGCACAGTTCATAGCTACTGGACTACAGTGCTGGAAATCATGTGGCCAGACACTGGTTTGGATCCCGGGCTAGTCTGAGAACATTTTGAGTACCCAAGATCCTGAGGAGCTGGAGGGTTAGGGAAAGGGGTTGCAGCCTACCAAGGCTGTGTTAAGAGTGCTTCTTTCTCTTTCTTGCTTTCTTTCTCCCTCTCTTTCTCTGTCATGCATGTACTTGAGCTCTCAGAAAAAATTTGAGTAGATAGCCAGGTACAATCAGAATTTAAGTTAATACTTATATTTAAACTTGATTGTCTTAAAATTTGTAAGATTTGGGGGAAGCTTTCTTATCAACAGATGACAGAACAGTTGCAGTTGTAGGTTAGGTATAATGGTATTTGACTAGTGGGTATAGAAAGTTCAACTTTGGTTGTCTTGATGGACATCTTTGTGTTTCATGCGATCGTTCTTATTGTCTTTACAGCGAGGCTCTCTTCTTAGTGAACCTGCAATCCAAGTGAGAAGAAAAGGAAAAGGAAAGCAGATTTGGTCTTTGGAAAAACTGGACAACAGGCTGTTGGATATGAGAGACCTTTATCAGGACAAGAAAGAAAGAAAGAAAGAAGGAAGGCAGGTCAAGAAGAATTCCTTAATAGCTAGTCATAGAAACAACCAGACTGGAATGAACCTTCTAATTTTAAAAGATAACTTCATTTTTTCCAAAATTATAACCTTATTTCTAGAGTGAAATTTATTTTAACCCTTTATATTGTTTAGAAAATGAATTTTAGTAACTTGTCTTTTTGGTATCTTCATTGTTTATCCTTTTCATTAGTGTTTTCTGGATGTCTAGCAGAATTTTTCACTTTCCGTTCTGACCTCTTTTTTAAAAAAATATTATTTAATTTGAATTTACTATTATTATTATTATTTTAAAGTTTTGCCAGAGACAGAAAGAGAGAAAGTGAGAAAGCAAGCCACCAGGTCTGGGACTTGACCTGTGGTTAGCCATGTGAGAGCCCAGCGCCTCAATCACCATGCCACCTGTTGTCCCCTATTCTGACTTCTGACTGTGTCCTGTGCTGTTCTGGGAATTTCTTTAAGTCAGAGACCAGGCCTTACTGTCTCTCTTCTTATTTTCTAACACATTTAACCTTGCAAAAACAAATCTAAAATGCATGTTTTTAAAGTTAAACATCAATTGTACCTTAATATTTTCAACATTAGGGACATTTTTTGAAGGAGTTTTGAAGTTAAAGTAGGTGCCATGAATCTGAACGCTGTTATTTTGTCTAGTTGCAGGACAAATTCCCTCATTTGGGTCAGCCATGCATGAGGGGACTGCAGAAAATTCATGGAAAGATGAAATGAAAAGTGTGACTTTATTGCAGTGCTAAAAATTTTGAAATAACCCATATGGTTTAACCATACTAGACATTTTCTATGAACTTTTTAAAGATTCCTCATGTTTGTACATCTTTTAAATAGAAATATGTGGTTTGCGTGTTTTTGCATGTTCTAACTACTACTGGTCCAGTTTCTGCATAGAGTTGTTTACTTTCTTAGCCTCTTGGTTTGCAAAAAATGGTTTATATTGTCATTAATAAAAATGACTTCTTAGAGGGACCAGCAGTTAGCATAATGGCTATGTCGCTGGACTCCTACATAGTCGACCGCTGTTCGAGTCCCAGACCCGGTGGCTTAAACTCACGCCGGTTGCGTGTGCATGCATGTCCAAGATCCCGAGAGGAGTATGGAGGAGAAGGGATTGCAGTGTGGCCATCCCCTCTGGGGGGTGATTTCTCGCTTTCTATTTCTCTGTTTCTCTCTGTCTGGCAAGTGTACACGCACTACAGTTAAAAAAAAAAAAAGACTTCTTAGGGTCAGGTGACATTTTTGCTTATATAGTTTTTTATTCTCTTCTGAATTCTTCTATTTTAATTTGGAAATAAAATAACAACAATAAAAAAATGCAAAAGAAGCCATCCACTCTCCTCTGAGGTGATGACCATCTGAAGTAGTAGATCAGGTGATTTGGTAGGAACAAATGGATCAGGCATGATGGTCCTCCCCCCTGAAAGAAAAATGCAGAGTAGGTTAGTACACTTTACTTCTTTTGATAGTCAGTATATGTTGTTTCTCCTTTTATGTCAAGATTTCCATGAAAAAGGAGATGAAATGATAAAAGTAATGATCTATTATTGGCATTGCCTTCTCTTGAGTGATGACCTCCATTATCAATGGGGATGAGAGGAAAGTGTTTATGCATGAGAGAGAGCGAGAAATAGAGAAAGAGAATAATAAAATGCTATACTTCAACAACTTAATTTTTCTCTGAAGAGTGTGAGTCAGGATAGGGTGATGAGATCTAATTTCAGTGACTTAAATGAGAGTGCTCACCAGTAATAGATTGATTGAATCCAGTGATTTTTCTGAAGTTGTATGTTTGGAATCTCTTTACAGGTGATACGATCTTATTTCAAGCGTGCTGATCCATTCTATGATGAGCAGGAGAATCACAGTCTCATTGGAGTGGCCAATGTCTTCCTTGAGTCTCTCTTTTATGACGTAAAATTACAGTATGCTGTCCCGATTGTCAACCAGAAAGGAGAGGTTGGTTTTCTCTTCATGCCTCATTTCCTGCAAAGGGTAGTAGAGTGGTGATGGTATATCATTGTTAGTTGGATTTTTGTTTGTTTGTTTGTTTGTTTGAAAAGGTTTTTGCTCTAGGGTGTGAGTGCTCACCAAAAAGACAGAGACAGAAAGTGAAATCATCCCCCAGGGAGGATGGCCACACCACAATCCTTTCTCCTCCATTCTCCTCTCAGGATCTTAAGCATGCACACACACGTGCCAGGCGTAAGTTTAAGCAACCAGGTCCGGGACTTGAACCACAGTCGACTACGTGGGAGTCCAGTGACATAACTGTTACACCATCTGCTGGTTCCGTTGTTAGTGTTTTTTTATCTGTAATAATATATGATGTTAATGTGTATTACTATTATTATTTTAATTGCCAGAACGCGTATGTGCTTGGAAGCAAGTGAACAAAACAGAGAAGAACTGAGAGAGAGAGAGAGAGAGAGCATAACAGAGAGAAGGCACTCTCCAGTGGGATGATCACACTGTAATCCCTTTTCCATTTCTCCATCCTGTTAGGTTTTGAACATACATGTATGAGCATTCAGTACTTTCTCCAAGCCTCCAAGGCTGGAATTTGAACTATGGTTGGCCATGTAGAATCTAGCTCTATAAAGCTCTAGGCTATGGGCCTGAACATGTTGTTATTAATGTCTTGTGTTTCCATAGGGCTTTGTGGTAGTTACTCCAAGTGCTTTGAAGGGAGAGTAACTGTTAGAAACTAGACTTCTTAATTCTCATATACCATTAACCTAACAGCTTTGCTCTAAAACAGAAGCAAGGTGATCTTAAAGGAAAATGAACCGAATTGGAACAGATTTTCTGCTTTGCCCCTGTTGTTCTAGGTGGCAGGTCGGCTACATGTAGAGGTGATGCGAATCAGTGGTGAAATCGTGGAAAGAATTGCAGGAGGTGATGATGCCGCAGATGTGTCCTTTGAGAAGGAGACCCCAGAGAACAAACTGGTCTGCATGGTAAGTCTGAGTTTCATTTTAGCATTGGTCGAAGTACAGCTGATTTTAAGGACTGTGAGTAGTTAGATAATATATTTTGTGTTCTTTTTGTGAATTTTGAAAATATCTATCTGTAAATAAACCTTCAGTGTTTGGTATTCCAGAGACCACCTTCTGTCACATATCCCTAAGTGTACTGGTCTGGGCCCCTCAGTGCCTTACTTGTGAGATCTGAACAAGTCACCTCTCTGGGCCATTCAGTTTTCAAATTGTATGAATCTTTGTTTACTGGATGCATCCTTACAGGAGCCCAGGTTTTTATACCAGTGTCCTCCTCTGTTTGGCACTCTTGATTCTTGCTGAAGATGAAATTTAGTCCCATTCCTAGGCTGCCGCCATAAGTCACTCTGGAGCTTTTCCACAGGTTCTGTTCTTCTTCCCCATATGCCTTTACTTACTATATTTAGCATGCGTCAATCCTGAACTCTTTTCTTTCTGCTTTTCTTACTTATTCCATTCATGAAATATGTGCTGAGTGTTATTGGTCAGACATTGTGTCAGATACCAGGAACAAGAAGACGAACGGAACAAGTTTCCCTCTCTCAAGTGTGTGCATATGGTGGACACGCAAGTGTGATCCCAAACCTGCAAGGTAGAGCCTTAATTTAGTTGATAAGGTCTGAGGAAATGTCTGAGCAAGTGAGACTCAGGCTGAACCTGAAGAAGAGGGAGTTTATGTTAAACTCTTCCTCCGTTGTTGCTGTTGGTGATTTTGTGGGAATTGCCAGGCAGGTCATGATGTTTCTGGGCTTCAGCCTGCTCAGCATGGTAGAGCCACTACCCCACTCATTATAACAATGAAAAATGCCTCTCAGACGTTTCTAAACACTCCCCAGTGGGCAGGCGTTATTACAGTTTGAGAATCCCTGTAGAAACCAGTTAAAAAGAGGGTTTTTGAGGACCAGAAATCAGCAAGGGGCTTAGGAGCAACGGACAAGGGAAAAGGAGGTCGTTAAGGACTGATGTGAAGGAAGTCTAACCCTAAATCTTGTTCATAATCCATTCCAGGTACAGTCTTCTTTCTCAGGAAATGTTTCTGGAACTGAAGTTGATGTTAACAGTTAAGTCATGGATTAGCCACAGGAAGGAGAAAACTATAACAGTTAACCAGTTGGGCTGTTTTCTGCATATATGAAGGACTGCAGTGTATTAAGTCAATTACTTCAGTGTGAGGGGGGAAAACTTAACTCATAAAAGGTTTACCATTATTATATTGTTTGATGTCAGAACATCTCCTTGGAGGTTCTGTGGTAATCAGAGAGGGAGACATGGCCTTGATGACTCTGTGGGGGCCCATTTTCAAGGTGCTGGACTATTAAATGCAATTCTGAAAGGTGAACTTTTACCAGTTGACCAAAATAACATGCAAGGGTACTATCTCACTTGAACAAATTATTTTTATCACTGAAGAAAAGTAGTATATCCTGGTTAACATAGACTTTTTTTTCTAATGATGTTAAAATATCTTAAGATTTTCTTTGAATGGAAGATATCAAGCCTATATAAGAGTAGAAAGTGTCATGAGTCCGCATTCACCCTTGCTCGCTCGTTACCAGTTCAGGGTTTGTTGGGTCTCATTTATATGCTCGCATCTGTCTGTGCTGCCTCTCCCTTAGGTTACGGTTGGGCCTTTGTGTCTGTGGCATCCACATCCTTGGTTTCAACCAACGGTGGATCAAAAATATTCAAAAAAAAAAAAAGCCAAGAAAATACAATAATAAAACAATACAGTTTTTAAAATAGAACCTAACAACTATTTATTATATGTAGTATTTACCTTGTATTAGGTATAACTACTCTAGTAGATTTAAGGCATCCAGGAAGATAGACATAGGTTAGATGTAAATACTGTGCCATTTTATACAAGGGACTTGAGTGCATGGATTTTAGTATATGAGGCATAAAACCAGTCCTCAGTACTCCTGATACTGAGGAATGATTATATTTTTAAACTATCCAGAACATCACAATAAATCTACAGATAGTTTAGGATATGTCTCCCAAAGGCGAATACCTAACAAAAACCCTTATCATTATGAAAAATGAGTAATTTCTTAAAGTCATGAAATACCCAGTTAATTTTCATAATTGTCTCGGTATCTCAAATCTATTTTAGTGTTTAGACTCTGGTTCTGGTATGCTGATGTTTGTATTTTCTCTCTCTCTTTCATGGTTACTTTCCCTCCTTCTCATCCTCTCTCTTCTTGTAGTTCGTTTATTCACTGTAGAAACTGGATTTTTGTCCTGCAGTTTCTCACATCCCGGAACCTCCTGTCTGGTGTTGCTTATGAACATATTGGGACGTATTTGCTGTAGTTGGTAGCTAGGATAAACGTGTCATATGGAGGACTGGGTATCAGAGCACTGTGTAGGTACTGGTGTATCTTCCATTGGAGGCATATTATGCCTGGTTGTTTCTCTTTTGGGGTTGTTAGCAGCTACTGATGATTGTTACCTGGATGCATTATTTCTTTACTTTCTTTTCCTTTATATTCTTTTTTGAGAGATTTTTGCTATAGGGCACATGCACTTGCCAGAGAGACAAAGATAGAAAGTGAGAAAACCCCCCCACCCAATCCCACCCCGGGAGAATGGCCATGCCACAGTCCTCTCCTCCATTCTCCTCTCAGGATTTTGGGTTCACATGCACATGCACCCAGTGTGAATTTCAAGCTACTAGGTCCAGGACTCAAACCATGGTCAGCCCTGTGGGGAGTCCAGCTGCCGTAACCACCATGTCACCTGCCAGCCCCTAGATGCAATATTTCATTAGGAGTTATGAAAGAATGGTCCTATAATTTTGTCATTTATTAGTTCAAATACTTCTATAGATAAAGTCTTCCCATTATCAACTATTTTACTATTCAGAGATACAATTTGTATAGAAAAGGCAGAATAAGTGCTCCATTTATTTACTGAGTTAAAAAATAATGAATTTATTTTCCCGAAAAGTGGCCATTATTGGGGTTTTGTTTTGTTTTTAAAGGTTTTTGCCACAGGGCATGTGTGCTCACAGGAGAGAAACAGATACACAGTGAGAGGAAAAGTGAGAAATCGCTCCCCAAGGGGATAGCCATGCCAAAATCCCTTCTCCTTCATTCTCGTCCTGGCATTTTGGGCACATATGCACATACACCCAGGGTGATTTTCAAGCTGCCAGGTCTGGGACTTGTTCTGCGGTTAGCCGTGTGGGAGTCCAGTGCTGTAACCACTGTGCCACCTGCTGGCCCCAACTAGTGAGTTTTTGTTTGTTTGTTTTTATTTTTAATCTTAATATCATCCTGAACTCCTGGGCTGAAACATATGTGACATGTTTTTGTGTATAGTATTTATTACCTACATTGAAGCTCAGGTGATCCTGTTTTTGGTCATTGGGAGTCATTTTAGCTTGCTCTTAAATCTGGTTGACCTAACCCTAACTGTGGTAACTTTCTTGCTTCCTGGAATGATAACTGTTCTGGTCTCATGTATTTCTTGTCCCAAACCTGGAATCAGTCATTTCTCCAGGGAAATGATACCTTTCATGAGAAATGGTTTTTTAGAGACCATATTCTGCCATGTAGTAGCCTTTTGTGGAAAAAGAATGAGGGCAAAAAAACTATATGACAGTAGATAAAATACTGGTGGAAGAACAAAAAGAAGTCAGCTAGGACACAATTAAGATATCCTGGGTGATGAGTATCACTGGCCCATAAAGGAAGTCTGGATTTATGTTTCCATGATGAAAAAACATACATATGTGTATGTGTGATATATATAAATATAATAAATATTAAAAAGATATATATATATATATACACATATATTATACACACACACACACATACATACCTGTCTGTCTATATATATACACATGCCTTTTTTTTTAAAGAGACATAACTTGCTATAGGGAGCATGTGCTTGCCAGAGAAACAGAAAGTGAGAAATTACTCCCCAGGGGGATGGCCTCAGCGCAGTCCCTTCTCCTCTGTTCTTTTGGGGTTTCGGGCACACACGCACACATGCTTGGCTTGAATTTTAAGCTTCCATGTTTGAAACCGTAATCACTATGCCATCTTCTGGTCCCAGACATGCACGTAGTAACATGCTAATATTTTCTTTAGTATTAAGTAAAGTTAATATATTTTAAAATGCCAAACAACAACAGTGCCTATTGACATTCCTCTGTGCTTCTGTCTTATACAACTGTCAAGTTGATGTCTGTGGTATTCTGACACCTTGTGGTGATTTTGGGTTTTGTTCACAAAAACTTAAAAAAAAAAAAAAAAAAAAACAGCCTATGTTCTAGATATCTGGATATCTGGGTATTTCTTGTTTCTGATTATCTTTATTCCTAGCAGTCTTGTTCCTGAGAAGATGCTTGTAGAGGAGAATCAAACACATTAAATCTTATTTCTTATTTTATCCTTAAAATTGAAATTAATTTCTATATAAACAAATGACTTTCAGATGAAATTCAGTTATAAAGAAGTATGTATTGAATGTTTTGTCCCTCCAAACCTAACTGAAGAATCAATATTCTGCAAATAATTTTTTGTAAAATTGTAAAAACTGTTTTTTATTGTTTAAAATGTTTATTCCTTAAGGTGAGACAATGTATCTGGTGAGGTTACCAGATTTTTGAGTTATATAGGCCTTAATAAAATTGTTTTCCACTTATTATGATACTTGGCATAATTACAATAAAATACTTAACTTTCTTAGGTTTAGTTTTCTCCTAGGCAACTGGGAATATTAATAGCTACCTTATCACACTGGGGTGAGATTGATCACACTGACAAAAGAAAGTGAAATGAATGAAAGAAAGCAATAGCAGGCGTGGTGCTTCTTCATACTTAGTACCAGGCTGTCCACAGTCTGCGTGGGGAGGGCATGAAGTCATTGTTGGTGCAGAGTACAAACTTGCACCGTCTTCTGCTTCCTCCATTCTCTCCTCCAGATCTCCGAAACTCCTAGTGCCTTCAAAGTTCTCTAACAAAGTGCTGTAGCATGCAATATTTCTGCTTGAGGACCTTGTTCCACTTTATATTTGAGATTATCAAATAAATGTTTTCCCTTTCCTGAACGTCATTTATTGACACATACACTGATTTCTTTCTTCATTCATTGTACTTAACAATCTTGTTCTGTTTTTATAACATATACGTGGTTAGCCAAATTCATATCATTGAATAGTGTTGATGTTTGAGAACTAACTTCTCAATGGATAAATTTGCCTATTCTAGGATCATGAAAATGAGTTTAAATTTTTTTTTAATTTTATTTGATTAAATCTTATTTCTAAATACACTCTTTTTTTTTTTTTTGAGAGAGAGAGAGAGATTGTTTTGCTATGGAGCACTTGCCAGAGAAACAGCGAGAGAGAGACAGAAAGTGAGAAATCACTCCCCACCCCGGGGAGGGATGGCCATGCCACAGTCTGTTCTCCTCCATTATCTTCTCAGGATCTTGGGTATGCACACTCATGTACCTGGCGTGAGTTTTAAGCTGCTGGGTCTAGGACTTGAACTGCAATCAACTACGTGAGAGTCCAGCAACATAACCATTATGCTACCTGCTGGTCCCTCATTGTATTTAAATGTAAAGCCTTTAATACCTTACAATTTCTACTTTAATTGTCAAGGTCTTTGTTACCCAGCTTTAAATCACTCACTGAATGTGACAGTTATTAGCTGTAAGTCATAGATGCAGACATCCAGTTCCAGAGTGAATGTGATTTGGCCAACATAAGTCAGTAGTTAGTAACATAGTCAGGACTGGAACACATGTCTCTACTCAAAGAACTTTATGGAACCTTCTGATTTAAAAATGGAACCTTCTTTTTTTTCTTCAGGTTAAAATACTTCAAGCCACTGGGTTGCCACAACATCTGTGCCACTTTGTATTCTGCAAATACAACTTCTGGGATCAACAGGAGCCTGAAATTGTTGCACCTGAAGTGGATACTTCCTCCTCCTCTCCCATCAGCAAGGAGCCTCAGTGCATGGTTGTTTTTGATCATTGCAATGTGAGTGCTTTCCAGACTAAGTCAATGTTAAAATGTAAACAAGGTCAGAGAAAGGGAATCAGGAGGAAAAAAAGAAGCAAAACATTTAAGGGACACAAAACTGGAAAGTTACCTTTCGATGATAAGATGTATGATAATATCTTTAACTGGGCTAATATAGTGTATTCTAGCTGGGAAAATGCATTTTACAAGCTGTAATAGTAAATAGTGATTGAATGTATAAAAAATTAATTAATTAAAAGATATAAACTAGGTCATATAACAACAAAACCAAAATATGAACCTTATCTCTTTGAAAAATGGTGCCAACCTATGTCTCAAAGCAGTTTCTTAGGGTAGGGATGGAGTAAATAACTAAAATATCAATTCATATAATTCCCACACAATCAAATTAATTTTTGTTTGAGAAAAATATGTATACACATGTGTGTACTCTCCTCCGAAGGACTCAGTGTTTTGTAATAGCTTACAGGAGAAATCATCCAGAAAAGTTAATAAACGATTGTGTGAGAGAAAGACAGATGACAGTCAAGAACTGACTTTATTGAGCAATGCATGCTCTCATAAGCACTTCATTATTCTTTCATTTGACCCTTACCACAGTTGTATTTGATGATAGTGTATTTTTTCAGCTGAAGAAACCGGCTGAGAGAGCCTGCCTAGAGAAGTTACTAGTCAGTTTGCTCATGGCTAGGAATCAGCAGAGCCTGGACTGTTGGTTCCAGGATCTTTTTTGCTACTGTCCCACATTCTTTCTCATTTATTTGAAACAGAAAATTAACCTTTAGTGAACTCAAGATCAGATAGAGTGATATACTGACAGAGAGGTGATTCTATGACTTTCTCTAATAAACTATTTTGAAGCTAAATCTTAATTGCAAATGCTGCCTTATAAAGATGGACAGGTTGGAAGAATTTCTTTTCAGTTAGGTGATTTATTTGTACTGAGTATCATTGTCTTTCCTATATTGGAGATAACTTCCTAAGAAATGGGGAAGATTGTGTTTGCAACACATAGCTCCTTACTGCATGTAACGACTTTTATATCTGGACATTATAAGTCCTTGTGATACTTAGTACAGTCACACTTTTAAAAATAACTCCCCAAATATGGCTAAAAGAATAAAATAGAATGCTGATTTTGCATACTAGACTTCCAAGGTGAAAAGTTTTGAAAGTGTAATCAGCTATTGTGTTTCAGGAGTTTTCTGTTAACATCACTGAAGACTTTATTGAGCATCTTTCAGAAGGGGCATTGGCAATTGAAGTGTATGGACATAAAATGAACGATCCCCGGAGAAACCCAGCTCTGTGGGATTTGGGAATCATTCAAGCAAAAACACGTAGTCTTCGAGACAGGTAAATTTTAGATCTACATTGATTTCATTTATAATTTTTAAAAATTAGGAGATGGGCTGGCTCCGTGATGCAGGGCTGATACGCTCCTCAGGAGAAGCCAGATCCCATATGGTGACTGTGATTTGAATCCCTGCCCTGTCAGTCTGAACATGCTGGGCAAATGTACAAGTGCCCAAGATCTGATGGGCTGGAGGAAGGGGAGTGTGGCATGTCCAGTGCTCTGGTTGGGTGCTTGTCTCTCTCTCTCATGTATACATGTACTCGCTCTTTCATGGATAAAGAGAAAACATTTTTTAAAAAATTGCTAGGGATTAATGCTGCTGTCTATAAAAGTTATTGTTTCATGAGCATTACCAGTGTTCCAGGATGGATGGTAGTGTCTTCAGGGTATTTATCATAGAGTTTCACCTTCTTAGGGGAGTGAAGAGTGATGAAAGAAAAGTTGAATATGTAGTTATTGAAGAAGAAATAGTGAAAGGACTTTGGGGAGAATAGGTCACTTTGCCATTAAGATTTTTAATTAATCAACTGGAGAGAGCATGGATTTAGTGTGCCTCTCCAACATTCATGTTTACTTTGTCTGTAGCTCATAGTTCTTGATTGGCATCAGTGATGGAAAGAGGTAGGCTTGCTTGCTGACTTAAAAGGAAGAATTAAAATTGCTTGTTTATCCTTTTCCTCTAATTCTAGATGAGAACCAGATTTTCTCATATTTTTGCATTTACAAAGTTTTAGCCAATGCTAGAATGTAAGATTATTTTCTTGATTTTCTTACTGATTTAAGAGATTTCTTATCAAGTCACTGAAGTGTATGACAGTACCTTTCTCTGTCTATGAAAAAAAGTAAGCCCTGTACTTCTGTACATCTGATTAGACCTTCCCAAGTTTCAGGTAACCTCTTAAAATAGATTTGTCATTATATTTTTTTGTACAAAATAAAGGGAGACATTTATAGTTCTGATATTAAGTTAGTTTAATTTTTTTCTATTATATTTGTCAATGTGTGTGCTTGTATGTTACTCATTTTACTATGAATATTATAGTGGACTGCTGTGCTTGGAAGTCACTTTCATTAATTCTCAAGAGTAGGGTCCTGTCTTTATTGAAATAGAAGTGTTTGATTTTCTGAGAACTTCAACTATTTCCTAGATGGAGTGAAGTCACCAGGAAATTGGAATTCTGGGTTCAAATCTTGGAACAGAATGAGAATGGTGAATACTGCCCGGTAGAAGTGATTTCTGCAAAGGATGTCCCTACAGGAGGAATCTTCCAACTCCGGCAGGTAAGAAGATTGTGAATGCTTATATTAGAATCTTTGGCACCAGAAAACTTAATATGGGGATTTTTTTTTGGTGGAGATGTTGATAATGATGAAATCTAGACTGGCCAAGTCCATTTTTTATATTCAGATGACTCCATCATGTACATGTGTACTTGGTTTCATTGCCATATGTATGCTACTTACAATATTTTAAAACTAGCTTCTGTTAGGGGTAAGTCCAAAAAAGATACACTTTAAAGGAAAATTAGAATTGTAGCAAATGAAAAAAACACATCGAGCAGCATTAGCACTTACATGGAGACCAGGGGGAGCAGTGTGCAGTGGTAGAAGAGACAGGCAATCAGGATGTACGTGCGTCGGCTCCATTCTGGGTCTCCCACGCCCCTGCTGTATGTCTGTGAGGAAGTTCAGTAAGCCCCTTTACCTGTTACATGGAGATGGTGGTGTTACCAGCTTCTTCGGATTATTTTGAGAACAGGGAGCTGTGTATAAAGCACAGTGCTTGACACATAGCAGGTGTTAAGTAACTGCAGCCAGGCAGATACAAATATATGCCAGCTAACAGGGGAAATTCTTTTTTTTTCTTTTTTTTTTGAGAGAAATTTTTGCTATAGGGTGTGTGCACTTGTCGGACAGAGACAGAAAGTGAAAAATCACCCTCCTGGGGGGATGGCCATGCTGCAGTCTCTTCTCCTCTCAGGATCTTGGGTACGTACATACATGTGCCCGGCATGAGGGTGTTTTTGGTTTTTGTTTAAATTTTTAAAGAATTTATTTATTTTATTTTATTTTATTTATTTAAATTTGACTAGAGAGGGACAGAGAGAGAGAGAAGAAAGAAAACAAGTCGCCAGATCTGGGACTTGAACCGTGGTTGGCCATGTAGGAGTCCAGTTCCCTTAACCAACTATGCCACTTGCTGGCCCTGTCCAGCATGAGTTTTAAGCTGCCAGGTCCAGGAATTAAACCACGGTCGACTATGTGGGAGTCCAGTGACATAACCATTATGCCATCTGCTGATGCCCCCATTTTTATTTTTAAATTGCCAGGAGACCTGTAGTCTCACCAGAGAGAGAGCGAAATCTTGTCAAGATTGTAGGCATACACACACCTGCACCCAACCTGTATTTCAAGCTGCTAGGGCAGAATTCAAACTGTGGTCAGCCCTGCTTCCTTAACCACTAGGCTTCAGAGCCAACCCAAAGGGAAATCTTTTTTTCCTTTAAAGAGTTATTTTATTTAAGTTTGTTTGTTTGTTTGTTTGTTTAAATTTGACCAGAGAGAGACAGAGTTGAGGGGTAGTAAGAGCAAGCCACCAGGTCTGGGACTTAAACTATGGTTAGCCATGTGGGAGTTCAGCACCCTAACCACCACGCTACTTGCCGGCCCCTGGGAGATCTTAATACAATTTGCATATATGATTTAGAAATACTCTTTTTGCTGTTTTTTTCATATAAATTCAACACATAATAGGCTATTCTATTTTATGAAAGAATACTTACACTTCAAAACAATGTAAAATACTAGACTAGTTCTAGAATGTACATGTAGGAAGCATTCAAAGTATGAGCAAAGGTTAAAAGAAAGGAATTGTTTGCTTAACTGTTTTAAGTTTTAGGAGGAAGAGAAAGAGAAGCACTTGTTCTGTAGCCTTAGCAAATGAATTTTAGCAGACACATTTACGTATGGGCAAGGAACTAAAAGGAAAAGGAGATTAGTTTAAATTAAAGCATGAAAGATATACATAAAATAGAATTCTCAGGGTGTGAAGAACATTTTTTTTCCTGGCATCTGTTGATGCCTTAGAAACTCATGTGCTGGAAGACAATACCAGATAATTTTCTACAGTTTGTGTATATTGGATATTTAAGTATTTATTATGCTTCAGACATTGTTTACTGTAGGTATTCAAAGATATTCTTGATTTATCATGAAAGGCTCTTTTGAAGGACTCGCACTTTCAGTTGGGTGCTGATAAAAGCTCTAGAAGGTCTAGAAAGGGTTTTCCCATGTAACTGGCAAGAAGAAAGACCCAGAGGCTAGAATTAGGTCCATCTGGGCAGAAAATGATGCATGGGGAAGTAGAAAGAGCAGGTTAAAGTCACTTGTAGCAGCTAGTTCAGAAGGCCTTGAATGCCAAACCCACTTGCATTTAATGTTTGAAAATTGGAATGTTCTGTTCTTGGACAGGAGAGTGGAGAGGACACTTGATTAGATTTAGCCATGTAAAAATAATTGGTTTTGAAGGTAACAAATGGTTAAAGTTACAAGAAGTACAGTCCAGTAGTTTAAGAATAGTTTTCAGGGACCAGCAGATGGCATAATGGTTACATCATTGGACTCCCACATGCTGACTGCAGTTTGAGGCCCAGACCTGAATGGCTTGAAATGCATGCTGGGCATGTGTCATGCATGCCCAAAATCCCGAGAGGAGAATGGAGAAGGGGGAGGGGGGTGAGTTCTGGTTTTCTGTCTGTCTCTAGTTAGCATACGTGCCCTATAGCAAAAAAAAAAAGAGTAGTTTTCAAAGCTGTCCTCTAGAACAGTAAGCCATTAGCTGTTCCTAGGGCCTTTTTTCCGTCCCCCTCCTTTTCTTGAATCTGCCCTCAAAGTGCATACTTGACCCTTCACACTTAGGCACACATTCAAAATCCAATAGATCACTTTCTCCAACAAACGTGGGCTTAGGAAAGTAAACAACATGTAGCTAAATGAAGTGACAGGAATATTTTAGTCCATTAAAATGTTTTCTGAGGGACTTTTCTCTCAAAACATTTGATGCATAGTCTTTGGAAAATATTAAATCAGAAGACATCTGTGTCCTGTTTATTCAAATATAACTCGATAGGATCGATGATTGCCTAAGTTGATTTTCCTGATCATACAAAGCTCTAGGGAACCATAATCTGATGGAAGAGGGCAAAAGTAAATTGACTTGAAACTGAAATAGAAAATTCGGCTCTTTCAAATGCTATTTTATGTCTCTAAAATTTGTAAATGAAGCTTGAAGTCTGTGATTAAGGAATACTGGGAATTCACTTTTAAAATGTTCTTTCATTGTACTAGGTCACATTGCTTTTATTTTGAAAACCTGTGTTAGGAGAAATAGTTTTATTCTAATCAGGTCTTCGTTTTGTGGTTATTATAATTGCTGTTTTGTAAAGTTTGTTTCTGTTAAGAGAGAGAGAAAGACAGACACTCTTATGAAGGTCTCACACCATCTTCCGTCCCAGTCCTCCCAGCCAGCCACCATCATGGCAAGCAAACCCCGCATGTACGAGCTGACTAGGGGTTCCGGGACCTCCCCCTGGAGCCAGCTTCTCTTGACCAGTGCATTACGGCGGTGCCACTGACCAGCCCTCAAATTATTTCTATTCTGGGATCCGATCAGTGATTCCAAGATGGCAATGATCTTTCTTATTTCTGTCTCAATTGTTATGTTTTTGGTTTTTTTTAGTAAACTATTTTATTTAACTTTATTTATTTTATTTTATTTTAATTTGATCAGAGA